AGATTTTGCTCATAACTGCCTATGTGGTCATCGATGGATGAAGCTGGGAATAAGAAAATCCCAGTCATGTCCTAGGGAATCAAGAGTTGTCTTCAGTACATACAAACCAACTCTCTCAATGCAAATATGGATTCATTTACAAAATCTTCAGGTACTACAAATTCAATTGTATCTTCCTATTGCCAGTCAAGCTTAGCACTTCAACACTAATTTACTCATAATCAGACTGAGTCAAAGCCAGCTGTGCCTCAGAATAGAAAATACCTTAGATTTCTTTAGAAGACTTCTGCTAAAAAAAAATTTCCATGAGATCAGGACATGAGCTTATGCAAATACAATCATGCAAACCTTCTGTTGTCATGTCATCATTGGGGCATAGAAAGCCAGCCATCCCAGGATTTACATATACTTTGTTACTATATAATATTGTGCAACGATTTAGAAGAAATGGAAAATATAGATAGTATTACTATAATTCAAAGATGACTTGACTTTTTAAAGATAATACCATAGTCAAATAAAAGAGAAGAAATTTGGATCAGTTATTTAAATTCGTTACCAGTTTAGTTTCATTAAGACACCATAGTGTGCATTTCAAGAAACATGCTCTTATTTGAAATGTAATTCAATGGATGTTGTCATCTCCTTTGAATAACTGCACCTTTAGCTAATTCTTAGAGAGGGATAAGACAGTAATTGCAATAACTTCTTTGAAATATTCCTCTAAACTTGAAAAACTAATTATGCTTGGTAGCTTTTTCAGTTTATTAAAAAGGGAAAAAAACATGCTTTTCCAATTTTATTCCAGATTTGCTGAAGATTGCCTGAAACATGAATCTATTACATATACCTAGTTTTACTTCAGTTATATTCTTAGTATAGAAGGTTTCTGTTGACTTCAGTGTGACAAAGGAAGTTGCTGGATCCTGACCATTACAGAGGATCTCAACAATCTTCATATGAAGTACAAAGTTAAATTTAAACATAATCTTCCATTAAGAAAGTCAAATCAGCCAAGAAATATTTTCCCTTCTATCCAAACATTCAGAAAACAAACTCCCAAACTCTGTTCATAGAAGGATTAAACTAAAATTAAATATAGTTTGTATTGAGGCAGTACAAGCAGACACAACTAGTGCTTGTATCTAGGTATCCAATATTTTTAATGCATTGTCTAACTGTTGACTAATGGACTTTTCCTTGTGTTCTTCTGCTGTGAATTTCATGCTTTACATGTAGATGAATCTTTCCACAAAGAAAAAGTTATATTTCTAGTTAGCAGGATGGGAAGAGTATCACTGGCAACCAGCTCTAGTAGCATGCAACTCTTGAGCCTAGGCTTAAACAATTTGTAACTGCTATTATTCTTTATAATACAGTCATTTAGAAGACTAATTATCTGAAAATTCTATCACTGAATTTAACTCTATTCATGTTACTACTTTTTTTTCCTGTTTTCTAAAATTTTTACTTGTCGTTACTTTGACCAAATAGACATTTGAGGCCTCAAGGGCCTTTGTAAACCTAAGGGGCAAATACAAATGGTGAAGATGCTTTTACAGTTTCTGTGCTTGAAAATATTGGCTTTGACATGATAATAATTTCATTTTCTTTTTCCACCTTTTTCAAGAAAAAAAAAATCAACAACACACAAAACTAACTCAAACAAACCCTCAAGAAAGCTAATCAAAGCTTAGGATAGATACATCATGCCCAGGCACGGACCTGAGAAAATGGACTATCTGTATTTGAGAAGGCTGGGACTGCCCAAAAAAGTGAACAGCTTTCACCTACATATGCTTTTGGGTTGTCAGAACAAGAGGCTTAGTCACTGGGAATGAAGTAGGTAGACAGTACCCACCCCCAGATGGGTCAATCTCTTCCAGAAGTCGATCTCACTCTTTTTTACATTCTTACCCCTCGCTACTCTCCCTTACCCTTCCTCTGTGACAGCAGCAGCAAAAAGCCATTTCTGAAAATCTGATTTATTTCCCTTGTCCCATTTCTCCATGTCCATAAGCAGGGTTCAGTCAGTCTTGGCTCCTTCTCTGACCTCCCCTGGTGTCAGAGAATATCGAAAAGGTGATGCAGGGAGAATCAGGGGTGATAAGCAGGAGGAGAAGCTTTGTGAATCCTGCGACACCTTAGGATGAATTCCCTGTCATGCAAAATAGTGGTGGGAAAGAGGAAGTCTTGTGAGAGAAAAACAAATTTCTTCAGACACCTCCCAGATTCCTCCAAAATGCTTCTGCCTCCAGCCCTCACTTTCCCTACAGAGGGTCTACATTATTATATACCTTTATTGCTACTATATTTAACTTCCAGGCTAGACTACTCAGATCAGTAAAGCCAGCTGGGTAACCTTTACAGTGTGGGGAGAATCAGGTGTCTTAGGTACATCCTTCACTAGCACACACTGCTCATCCCACAATTAGGCCAGATATGTACAATCCCCAGGGCCATGAAATGCCCCTATTACATGGCTATATTTCAGGGGGAATGAAAGGAGGACATGGCCTGCTTCTAGCCCTTTTACCTCTTTTTCCTTTATTGACAGAAAGACCTTTCAGCTCTGAAAAAGAGAAGAGGCTAGGCTGCAGAAGGTGGATCACATAGTGCTATGGTGGATCTAGGATGGTATAATACCCAGTAATTTTATTATCAAGTACATTTTGAGATTTAACAGTAGGATAGTGAGTCTAGGTAACTACTGGGTTATACACTATTTTCAGTTCAGAATTAGATGCCTGTCTCAGGCTGCGAATCACAAACCCAGGGTCTTGGACTTAGGAGACATTTTATTCTTCCTCCAGACACAGATTATGAGCTGCTTTTGTTTTTTCACTCTCCCTATTGCTGGCTTCAGTGACCAGTGATATTATCTAGGGTGAAAAGTAACTTTTGGTCTAACCAAAAGTTTGGGCAAAGGACTAGTTGGTTGCTTTTGTACTCAAGTCAAGGGCAAGACTATATTCACTGGTGTGTTCTGCCACTAGCAAGCTCGGCTCTGGTTGCAACTCAGTAGGTGTTGAGAGGTGGAGATGCATGCCATACCAGTACTTGATAGTTAGTTTTGGGACTTACTCTGGTTTTGAACCTAGAGGTGCTCTGCCCTCAGGTCCTAGTAGTTGGGTAAAGGCTGGTTTGACATTGAGGGGTGCTGCCAGACTGAATCACCCTCAGTTGTAACTTACTGATTTTGACACAGGTGGATAGGCCACCTCCACTTAACCCAGAAAAGGGACATATACTAGTCATTTATATGGTTCAGTAAATATGGAAATAAAACTCCCCAAAAAGGAGACCTCAGGCCGAAAGCAAGGCATTCTGGTGCAGGGAAGATATGTAGCCTTTGGCGTTCCCGTGAAACGAAGGAAGGGGTAGTCACCCCAACGAAAGCCTCGGTGAGGGGAAGGGGGAACTTCAGCCAGGGGAAGCTCCTTCGCGCCGGAGAGTCTGGGGAATCTGCGAGAACGCCAGGCGAGAGGTGGCAGCAGCGAGTCGCCGTGCAGCCCGGCCGCGATGGTCGGTCGGTCCGTCGGTGCCGCTGCCGCCCCAGCTCAGCCCGGCGGCAGGTCCCGCTGCCGCGCCCGTGGTTGTCCCTGCGGGGCCCGCCATGACATTCCAGGGCGGCGGGCGGTGCTGGAGGGGCGCAGGGAGGCGACGGGGGAGGATAGATGGGAGCGCCTTGTCCTGCGGGAGCGGCCGGCATGGCAGCCCCTGGCGTCCAGGGCACATGCGGGTCCCCTCCATGCGGGGCAGGTGCTGCGGCCGCGGGCTCGGGCAACAAATGACCAGCTGTAGGCGCTGCCCTGGCGCCTCGGCCGAGTCTGTGGCTGTCCTCATTGCCGCGCTGATGCTCAGCTTGCTGTGAGCGGGAATTTGGCAGCAGTTACCCCGGGCAACAATCCCAAAAAATTGGTGGTTTTGCTCAGGTACCAAAACTCCGCGCAGCGAGTTGAATGGAGCCCTGGAGTGGCAACTTTCAGGTGAGTGCTGCAACTGCATTCCACACAAGTTTCTCAGCGAAGAGTTAAGGGTGCGCAGGAGTAAAACATGACTTCCATATTCCTTACCCTCTTTGCTCGCAAGAAGACTTCTGAAAACGTGGTAGATTTCCCACCTAGGTTTCCCAAGGATGGGAAGAGGGAACCGAAGGAAACACGAGCCGGGGAAAGAGCTCTTGCTTCCGTGTTGCTGTCACCGTTTTGGCCGGCAGACCTCAAGTTCCCAACCCATGACGGCAGGAGCCGCGGTCACTGCTGAGGGGCTGCTCCACATCGACGCCCCCCGCCCCGGGGTGCGCCTCCACACCTGCGCCCGCAGCCTCGCCTCCTCCTTCCCCAGTAAATCAGAGTCCCCCCCTGGCTGCAGGGTTACTGGGGAAATACGGGGGCGCGCCCCTCTGCGGCGACACTGAGGGGGGCCCGGCCCGGCCCTACCTCGGCCCCGCCCCGGCAACGGGACGGGCGGCGCCTCATCGGGAGTGGGGCCACCGCCCCTCTCTCCCCCCAGCGCCGGCTGCTCGCCGCGGCGGGCGCGCTCCCTGCTTGGGGAGGGGACGGGCAGGGAGGGGCGGAGGCAGGCGGGAGGGAGGAGGCAGGGCCGGGCGGGAGCGCGGCGGCGGCAGCATGCTGCGGTCGGCGGCTGTGTCTCCTTCGGCCAATCCCCGCGGCCTGGTGCGCCCGCCCCGGCCGCGCTGCGCTACGGCGCCCGCCGCGCAGCCTGCCCCAGCCGCGCCGCCGCAGCGGCCCCGCGCCTCGCCCAGCGGCGGGGCGGTGGAATGCCGGAGCCCTCCTCGCCGGCAGCAGCGGGCAGCTGTCCGCGGCCGAGCCCGGCGCGGAGCCGACCGGCGCGCTCGCGCGGGACACGGGGAGACGCACGGGGCGCACAGGGGCCCCACCCCGCACGCCCGGGGGGGGGCAAGCCGAAAGATGCTGGCAGCTGGGCAAGGTCAGGACCTTCGCGGTGAAGCCTGGGGCCGTCGCTGCCCCCCCCTCCCCCCTTTCATCCTTGCCTAACGGACTGAGGATTTGCTCTTGGGTTTTGGTATATGTTTGGGAGCAACCACGCTGAATCGGCGCCGATCGGTGAGTACGACAGGCACCGTAATGGTGCCAGGTGCCCCCCCCCCTTCCTGCCTGCGTGATGTTTCTTTTTGGTGTCGGGTCCTGCGCTGCTCCCCTCGCCGAGGCAGCCGGGCTGGGTTGGGCTGCAAGGAGCAGTGTTTGTGCCTTCAGCCGAGAGGTAACAAAGTACGTTATTTCCCCATGGTTCTTCCTCCCGCGCCTCCCCCCTCCATCGCTTTCCTCCCTTTCTTTCTACGTTAGTCGTTGCTTATGTAGGGCATCCGCGGCATGGTGTCTCCCGACGCCCTGCACTAATGTGCTCGTTACGGCAGTGAAGTCATGGGCCAGGGAGGAGGAGGAGGAAGACGAAGAAGAAGGAGCCCGGGGACCGCGGGCGGGGCAGCGCCGGCCCTGCGCGGAGCCCGGGCCCTGGGCGGCTCCGAGCGGCTGCTGCTGCGCGGTTCTGTGTGTCTGTGCTGCATGTGTATGTGTATATGTGTGTGTGTGCGGAGGGGTGTGTGGGGTGTGTGTTCTTTCTTTGAAGCCACCGTCTGCGAAATCCTGCGCTCGAGGAGCGGGCGGAGGGGGTGGGGAGCGGAGCCGCGATGTGCGCTGTGATGTTTCGTTGATCTATATTTAATGGCTGAAAGGAGAGATGCTTTTCTTTCCTTTACCCTTACCTTACTCTTATTCTGGTGTGTAATGTGCTTGCATTGATCGGTCAAAGCGTAGCTTCAGCTGAATCAAGTCACCACAGAGGAAGGAGGTGCAGTGGCACAGGCAGTTCATGTAATACACAAATTCATCTGGCCAGGGATCTTGGAGAAAAATGAAAAAAAAATCTAAAGAGGTATAATTTTAGAAACCATGTTAAATTTCCCCTGGAGGGATTGGAAGCACGAATACATGGAAGAGTGTAATACAGTATCTCGTACGGATACATTTTCTTATACTTTGTTAGAGTGTGCTTTGTTTGGATTCTGGGTGTCATGGTTAACCCTATACATTACAGGAAGAAATATCCAAAACTTGGGGAAATATTTAGAAATTAAGAGGTCCCTTTATCGAACACCCAGTTCGAAACTTTATTGGCTGTAGTAATTGATATTTTTACCCCTTAAAACAAGTATGCCTTTTATTGGCAATAACAAGGAAAGTAAAAACTTCACATTGCAGGTTTATTTTCAAAATCTTTATAGGTAGCCTGTATATGTAAAGTGAAAACCGTGAGTCAGCCTGAGCTGTGGTTCGTAACAAACCTCTCCATAAGGTACGTCAAGACTTACGTACCTCAGGATAGAGAGAGGACAACCCAGAAATACATGGAGTTTATGTAAGTCTGTTGTGGCTTTTGCAAAATCAAGAGAGGAAAAAAAAATCTTTGTCATCCTGTATTTAAGGATATATTCATCCTGTCTTAAAAAAAAAAAAAACAACTGATTATATAACTCATAGGCTGGGTTGATAATTTCCAGGCAGCCTACTTAGTTGGTCAGTGTATAAACGACATGGCATGAAGGGGTTAAGGGCAGGTCTCCAGAGAAAGCTGCTGCATATTCTACTAGTGGGCCTCTGAGACTCAAGTGGCTTTAGGGCTTTTATGAGCCTATTTGCCTTTACACAGGTTATCTGGAGAGGAGCCCCAACCTTAAATCCAAACCACCTAGGAAGGCTGTGATATTTAAGCAAAACGTTATACGATGTTCAAATACCCTTGTAATACCATTTCTGAGCCAAGTTGGTGAAGCCGTCTCTCTTCAGTCTGTTAATGACTTGACCCTTTGGGAGCCTTGACTGACTATCAGTCTGTGTCTGGCAAAACTGCAGAGAACTTGTGACTGATCATCGACATTAATGAGAAGTTGATTAATAGCTCGGGACTGGGTTGAATGTGATTATGTTAAATGTTGTAGTTCCGAAACAGGAGATCGCATCTTGATCACGTTGCACAGAGATGGTTTTTGCAGTCTGTTATATAAGAGAGGCTTGGAAAAAAAAGGGAGTTGCGGGCTGTGCTATGTATACATACCAAAAGAAATACCCCTCAAACCTGCTGGTAGGAAGCAAAGAATTTATTTCTGAATGCCAGTTGTATGACTTTTTGTGGATTGCAAGAAAGATGGTTTTGGGAGAGGACTCCAGCTATAGTGCTCAAGTTCTGGCTGTCAGGTACCTTAACAGATGTTAAAAGCAATAAATAGCTCATTGGTGACACGAGTTTGTGACTTCTGGTTTTTTTGGATAATGATACTAAAAAAATTTCATCCTCACATAATGAACTCTGACAAGCAGCTGCACAAAATAGAAATAGTAGCGACTAAAAAAACCCAAGATGTTTGCATAATTCTGATTTGCATAATTTACCTTTGCTGATGGTGGTATCAATTTAATGGCTGTGGTTCAGCGTTGAATATTTGTTTCTCAAGACACGTGTAAAATGAACTTATACTACAAAGGAAGTACCAAAGCAGTTTATTTTAAGGGTTTTAAGAAATGCATTTTTAGGTAGGGCTGTAAATTGGCATGTAAATGGAGCAGCTAACAGAATCAGTGGAACTCATGAGTGTTAAATTTTGCACTAAATTTCAGATACACTTTCTATTTCATGGTTCAGTGTGATATGATTTTTAGAGCTGATCACTTGTGGAAATTCCAACGTTATCTTTGTTAGGATTTCAAGCATATGTTTCTGTCCTAGAAATCCCTGTTTTCAGAAGTATCAGCAAGATAAGGAAAATGCATTATTACAGTACTCTTCACTTAAATAAGGACCTGTGGTTTTGATGCTTATTGATTGTGCTTGTAAGTCATGAAGAGTTTGAGATTAGTAGTTACAGCTGAGGTTTGACAAAAATGAAAATTATTGTATTAGCCTTTGAAGGTCTCAGTAAGATCTTATTGCAGGATGAATTGTGGATGCTTATTTAACTGCACAATATTAAATGTAGTAGTATAGTTATTAATAACATACAAAAAGCAATAAACTTTAATGGAGGCAGCATTTTTAAATATAGTAAATTTAGTTTTTTAGTGACAGAATGACTCTCAAATAGGACTAAACCACATTTGCTCTTAAAGAAGAGGTTGTTTTTGTCATGACAAAAGACATTACACTATGGAAAATGTTATTTTTCTGACCTTTGTTTTTTATGGGTGCATGATGGGACAAGTAATTTCTTTCATGTGAATAAGAAGTCTCCATGCAGGACAGGAGTGCAGTTCTCTGCTCATGCACTACAGGACCACATGACCCTTTGGCTAATGGTTCCTTAGTAGTTAGGCTCACTTGGAAAGAAGTCTGAATGTAGCATGGCACACTGAAACAATTTGTTCTATCCCCTTGGGATGTGCTAACTTTGTGTCACAAATGGGTTGTAAAAGCAGATTGCTTGACCAGATTCTCTGGCACTATACTGGACAAAATTTAAGTTCAATAATATTGCAAATGAAATATGGTAGCTGTTTGTATGTAAACCAATTGCCATGTGAATAGATATTATTTTTTTCTTGTATTAACTGCCAGTTCAGTGTAAAACTGAGAAAAAGAGAAACATCTCATTATCCATAGGAGCAAGTATTTAATATTTGTTTAAATTGCTCTTGGCATGCTAACTTCTAGTGCATCCTACTGACTCTTAATCTGCCTATTCTACTTTACAAAATTAAGTTATACTAATAAGCAATAACTTCAAGACACATCAGCATGCAAGAGTATGTATTATCTTGTCTTTTTTGTCACTGCCTATTTTACTGAAGTTTCTAGAAAAAAAATAAACCCAAACCAGGCTTCTAATGAAACTCTAAAACTTCGTGCTTCCCAAAGCTGCCAAGAAGGTGATAACTTTCTAAAATTCATATATAAAATAACCGTGTTTGATATTGCATTTTACTGTGGTTCATTGCATTAGTCATAGTAATTCTACTGTATAACAAACCATTATTTTCTGCTTGTTTTAATTCATTTTAAGAAGCCACATATATGCAGAGTTTGAATAGTAACATCCAAAATCAAGAACATCTGAGACTCAAAGGAGCTTTACGTTTTCTAGTGGAAGATTTTGCCTTTTCCCCTCCTATTTTTCCTACATTTCCCTCTCCCACTCTTTTTTTTATTTTGTTTTTGCCAACTTTGCAGTTGATTTCTTCATCTCCCAAAAGTCTTCACAGTGCAGCAATTTCCTTTTGGTCAAGAAAATTACTTTTGGAAACTGACAATAAAACTTGGATTTATCTGCTTAGTGTAACATACATGTGTTCTTTTTTAAGCCATGGCTACACTCTCCTGTTCTAACACAGTTGTTATTCAGCTAAGCAGCACCAAAATATCCCTTTAAGGTTGAATTTTTGAAGGGAGACAAATGAAATAAACAGCTAATGTAAACAGGTATTCTGATGAGATTCTTAATTGTTTTAAATCCGCTGGATAAGACTTAGCTCTTACACACTCATTTATATTAGATTAATTTCTTTCACATTACTAAGATGTTTGGGAAAATAATTAGAAATAAGTTGCAATGTTGTGGTAGAAAATTACTGTACCTTTTAGCTCCACTAGGATTACTAAGGGTTGTAATCTGCATCCTGTAAAGGTATAACATGCCTTCCATCAGAACCAGCAAGCAGTTTGAAAGGGCGACTGGCAAGGAGTATCTCAGAAGTAACTCAAGGCTCCAGACAATGAGTTTCAGGGTAGTTCCCACTTCCCAAGGGAGTACTTTTGCAATTTTTGAAGCTGGAAAGCAAAAAAGCGTGCACTGAATGTTGAAAACAGAACGTGTGAACCTTACAGTTTTTCTTTACAGTTTTCCACCAAAATACTGAAGTGCATGAGTGAGGGTATTTTTGGAATGCTAGCTGATCTAGAGATGTTTTTGTTGGTTTTGTTTTGGTGTTTTTAATATATACATTATTTTAGATTTATGTGAGCAAATAAACTAACTTTTCTGAGGACGACATACATTAATCAAATCCTGGCATCCTAGTATTTTGTCCTAATGTTGTAGTTGGCTGGTGTCCTACTT